TAATAATAAGTTTTATTTAGATTATTCAATAAAATATCGACAAATATTGATATTTCATCACATATGTTGTTATTGTTTTTGAAGATGCCGCCAGTTTACATTGGTTTCACTGACACTAGCGGTTAACCGATAGTTCTGTGGCTTGGTTCGGTCCTATAGCTAAATGAGCTGAAAACATCATTTTTTACGAAAGATTATATATATTTTTTCTCAATACAGAAGTAATGCTGAAAAAGTGTTGCTGAAAAAGGTTTTTTTTCATAGTTTTCGTGCTAAAGTTTTGTCTTTAGTTTTATTTAATGTAGAATGTGTAACAAATTCATAAAATATAATCGAAAGGTAGCAATAGTACTGATAGAACTTAAACTGTACTGTGACTTTTTGAAAAGATCATAGTTCTTGTGTTTTTCTCTTCCGCAGTGTTTTAAAACTTTTCTATACTTTTTCATGTCCGAAGATCTTTGAAAGCCAGAAAGTGTGCTTTCCATTTTTTCTATTACCATAGTGAAGACATAGTTTATGTTGGTTACATATTTAACATAGTTTCAGAAACTATTGTTGCAGAATTTAAAAAGCTACTTCAGTTGTTTTTGAATTGTTCGTCAACAGAACACTCACACGTCTAAGATGGTCTTCTTTGACGATCCATAAAAATGAGATCATCTGTTCAATCTAGATTTTTCTCAAACTACAAATAATCGTATGATAAAAACATCACTAGAGTGCCATAATAATCGTTCTTTCCTCTTCTCAAACGCTAGATAATTAATATGCACAGTTGAGTCTAGAATTCGTAGATATTCTTTCTTCAATTTATACATTTTCCAGCATTATTCACAAATATTCAAGCCGGAGTCTTTTTCGTTTCAATAGAATTCTTTTAATAAGAACGATTAGTATGATTTATGATTAATAATCATGAAAGAAATGCAAAAATTGAATCACATTGGCATCAAATGATCAATTGTTAGTATGGCTACCACGGTAAGCACGGTGCATCCTCATTACGACAATGTTGCCAATAAGTTTCGTATCGACCAGTCGATAATTCCATCAACGTCGAATATACGGTTAGCTAATTTGACAAAAGAAAAGAAATATTTGACAATCTAGATGATCGAAGGTTCAAGGAAGAACTAATTACCCCATTGAGCATCGGTCTTGAGGACAAAACATTGAATAGAGACTCAAATGTAACATGATCTTGCCCCTTAATTTTCATACATTTGATACATGGCGTTAAGCGATCATCGAAGAAAGGCTGTTTTTTCCAGTTATCATAGTTTGTCTCAATTACAAACCACAAATTATCTTTACCCATTCGTGTGATATTAACAGCTTTGGTGCGTTCTCGTGTAATGACAACACCCTAAAAATCGATCAGCTAAAGAATATATAATACAAAAATAATCAAACACCTGTTCAGGCTTCGGTCCACCAACAATATAATAACAAGGAGCTAAGAGTTCTGTTTCAGCTAAGTAGTTAACGACTACATCAAAACTTTCTGCTTTTGTAAGCATATCACGTAGGGCAAATGTGATAAATGATTGGTTACGGTTAATATTAAAAATCCATTCTATTAAACCTTCATAACCACCCTGAAAACTCGTACGAGAATTGACTGAAACACTGAATGCGTTCGGCTTAAGACCAGTAAGTACACCTATGTATCTATCAAAATGAAATCAAAAGATGTAGCCGTCAAGAAAAGCAAAATTCATAATCATACCCTGCAAAACTCGTTGTTTTAAAGAGTACTTCACCATTTCGAGTAAAATTTATTTGAGTAATCAGTGTACGAAGTTTTTCAGTTAATATCCAAGTATTATTTGACATGTCCCAGCTAGAATAAAAGTAAAATAATGTTCAAGTTTTCTTTGCTAAATGTTATTCCGATAGTGTTGGATTCTCATTCATAAAATCGAAGGCTTTCCATGGAATATTCAATTTTAAAAAAGTAATAATGATAAACGTTGTGATTTTTTTCAACTTTTCATCTTAGTTCTAGTGCAAAGAATGTCCAGTTAGATTCTTATCGAATACCTACCCGACAAAAACTCCAAAATCGAGGTTTCGTACATGGAAAACATTCCCATATTGATCTTGAGCCACCATCGATGTGCATAGTGCAGAGACTTCGTAGAAGATGTTGTAGAGAACAACTTCACCTAGATAAAGAAAAGTATTGCGGCTTACGTGATAACTCTTTCTCAAAATTAACATGTACGAAAAATCGAGAAGTTTGACTTTTTTTTCGAAACGACATTTTACGTCATCGAACTATGGCAATGAAATTTGCATATGTATGTGAATACCTAAGGGTAATCCTGTTGCTTGACTAATGCCTTTCATTTCATCACCATAGGGTGCTGGCAATGTGTCGGCTAAAGCAGGCTATTTTGAAATGAAAAATAATGCACAATAAGACAATATGATGTGTAGAATTACCAGCTTATCATCAATAAGTTCTAGGAGAAATTTTAGATTAGGTGAAATCTCGACGATGTAAGCTTTGAAGAAAGCAAGAATGTCAATAATCTACAAGCAACAAAAATTAGTTCTCAAACAAGAAGAAAAAAAAAGACAGATAGAAATAGATTACTTCACTCTTAAATGCAGTTGCAACTTGATTCCAACGTTCCATAGGTGGATCATCCAAATTGACAACATAAGTCGGTACAGCTCGTTCTGGTTTCGGTGGCCATTGATCATTTAAACATTGCTCTCCGAACTATTAAAAAATAAAGAAAAAGAAAAATTTGAACGAATTTCAATTTTTTCGTTTACAATTCCTTGAATAGCTAGAAAGATGAGTAGAATTGTAATCTTATTGTTCCACATTGCCACAACGATCTCTGGAAGAGCAAACGACGAAAAAGTGTTTTGTTTTATCAATGTGCATTTAAATATCTAGTTGTTTGCATTAGATAAGCGCGATATGCACATAAAATAGATGAAAGATATTTTGCACGTAGATAAGCATAAGAAAATATCAACTGACCTATTATCACATTACTATATTTCTGCTTTTCAAATGAGTTGTGTATTTGTTGTGAGTCTTGAAATAAGACATGCTATCGAATAGATATGTTTGCAAGAGCAGCAATATTGACGGCAATAGTGCTTTTCAGTTGTCATTCTTTCATTTTATCTGAACCATCGAGAACATACGGTCTATTTTTCAAAACAGCATTGTTCACATGATTAACAAAAATATTAACTAAAACTTTCGTCCCAGTATTGCGATCAACTCTTGTTGTGCTTGTCAGTCTTTAGTGACAACTTATTTTCGATTATTGATTTGCTACTTATTATTAACATAAAACTCAATGGTGAATGACAATTAGCTTTCATGTAAAACTGGAGATTATTTCAAGCAATATATTCCATTTTAAACTTCGAGCCATAAAAATGTCGAGTATTATTGAAATACAGGATATTTCAAAAGTTCGGCATAGAACAAAGTCAATATCTTCTTATCATTTCAAGGGATTTATATGATTTGTTTTCAATCATATGATATCATGTTCATTGAGGCTTTATTTCATTTATTTTCCGGGTGTGTGTGAAGAGGGAAACACACACTTATAATACACACTTCCATACGCTTCAGAATAAAAAATTTCGTTTCTGACAGGAGGAGGAAGACACTAAAAATATTGCAATTGGATACTTTTAGGTTGAAAAAGACATATTTTTTGTCAAGTTTAGTTGATGCTTGTTGATGGTTCTGTTACAAACTTCACTTCGAATGTGCTATTGTCGAAATGAATTGCGCCAATATGACGAGTGTACATTACAAAATATAAAACTAGAATTCTGGCTGACTTGCTCCAACATGATAATCAGGTACTGACGTAATAACAAGAGCAAGTCATTTTCGAAATGCCTAAAAGGATAATTGCTTCTTTTGTCATATTTTTTACTGTCATACTTAACAACCAGATTGAATAAAACAAGACGCTTATGCATACAACGTTAACTGTTGATACTTGTCGCAATCGAAAGTTTTTATCTATTATATTGGGATCGAAGAATACTGCGTCGACTAGTGCTCTAACAATGACAGATGTGATAGTGTATACAAATACTTCGATGTAAATTGTTTCAGAGAGGCAAGATCTGACCTCACGCGATTATACAAGAGAATGATGATCGGCCAAAATAATCGTGCGCTGTCCGACAGTGAGTAAAACTGTAACGGTTGTCAATGCAGATATTGAGTTTTGTGTGCTGGACACAAGTGCTGCCCACTGAAAGTGGTTAAATGAGAAATGAGCAGAAGGATATTGAGACGTAATAGCCGAAAAAGTAACTGAATTCATTGAACAATTCATGCGATAAGATAGACACCTACAAGAGAGACAATTGTAATAGCGGCAGGTCCCCTCGACTCGTACGTGGCATACAGGTAGTTGGAGATATCGGTCATCATACTAAGTTAGATGTAATACCAAGTGCGGTTGTTAAAAATGGACCGAATGTGGATGTGGGTACGAGCATAGATCTTCTTTTTAACCATAGCCATACTCCATGCCCACACCCACACTCTTGTCGGATTCTATCAGATTCAATGTCGGATATAGACGAATTTCGACTTCAAACGATCGAATTCTGTTGGATTGAGTCCAATAACCTTGTGACCTGAAATCCGACGACCATTTTACTGGGAAAGAATTTTATCGGATCTGGTAAGTTCGAGTGAATGAATTCTGCAAGATCTTATAGTATTCTTCGATGAAACTTAAGAGATCCGAGAAGATCAGGTTGAATTTAAATCCCGACTTTATAGTTGTTCTCTTTCCTATTCACTATCATTTTAAAAAAAATAATTAATCGTTATATTTATGATGTCAATGGTAAAAATCTACCATCTGCCGTTATCATTTCTGTATTAAAAGCAAACACGAGATAAGCCCACATATCGTTATTAAAACACAGTGCAACGATATTATCGCTAATGTCGTCGAAATCGCACAAAAATCGGCGATTCTATGTGATTTTTACAGAAAATCGTGACTATTTAAACAATATTTAAGATGAACGAACCTGGTTGTAGCATTTGGATCTACAACTATCATTACATCTCGACATCAAAACCAGCGTCGCATATCAACGTACTGATTGATACTTGTTTCTCGTGAATAATGAGAGAGACGGTTTATTTGTTCCCATCCGCAGTAAATCATATAATTTTTTAAAAATAAAGTAATGCTTACTAATCATTTTGTTATTAACAGAGACATAAATATAATAAAAAAATACTAATTTTTATTTCACAATATTTATTATATATTGAGATGTTCAAATGACCTAAATAAAAGAAAAAAAAGATTTACTTTTATCAATCAATAGTTACTGTTCATTGAGATGATTTGACAAACAAAATAAAATAAAAATGTGTTTATATTTTACATAATAGTGCTTACTGCTGAAGTTTGTTGAAAAATCTCCGATTCATCGCGATTCATTGTAATATCAAAAAAGTCAGTGATTAATTGTGATTTATCGACGATTTCTCCCACTATTAAAAAAACCGTCCATTATAATTGTTGCTTTTTTTTGCTCAAATCGCGATTGATCGTCGATTNAGGATCATTAGTCCTAAATATAGGTAAAGTTTCAGGTCAAAATTCCGTAACTTGATTTTCTCGTTAAATACTTAGGTATAGGTGGAAAAATCAGTAAAACGACCATAACTTTTCAAGGAAGAGCTGTCAGCCCAAATCCTTTTAGGCTTTTTGCTATCTCGATACCCTCTATCAAACGACGTATGAATGAAGAGAATCGGGGTTGGGCACCTCGGGAGGTTCCCTCGTCAGATGACAACAAAACTACACAGAATCCATGGATAGTCCTGCTCTGAAGGAAAAAGATTACTCTGCAAAATCTACTTGTTGCATATTTTTTTTCATAAAAAATATATATTATTTTTTCAGCAACAATCAAAAAATTCTCTGCTCATTTCTAATCAGCAATGTTACATTACACAAAATATTATCGTTCAAAAAGTTTGTATTATTTAATATAAAAATTATTTTCAATAAAAGAAAATTTTTTTTCTTTGACTAAACAAAAAGAAAAGAAAACAACTTTAATACCTTCTTTAAATTCTCCATAACCATAACGTCGTCCAATTTCAATTTGAAACATAACAATATCACAAATAAATGCTGCTAAACGTACCAGTGATTGACGACCACTACCTCCAATACCTAATAATAGTAAATTACCACGTGGTCGTCGTAATACACGTATAATTCGACATATATTAAGAACAGCATCACGAAACATAACTAAATCCATAGATAACATTAATGGAGTTTCATTATATTGTTGAAGATTTTGTTCAAGAAATAATTTTAATTTATCATAATCACGAATTTCCTATAAGGAAATAAAAACATGAAAAAATAATTAATTAGAAATTCTTGTACAACCTCATAAACACCATCTTTTCTCATAATATCAGAATAGATTGGAGCTTCTCGATTATAACATACATTATGATAAACTTGATCAAAGTAGAAAGCTAATTTTTCACTCAAAATTTTAATAAATAATTCATGATCATTTGTTGTCATAAATCGATCAGAATAAACTCGATGTGCTTCATGAATCCATAAACGAAGAAATTCAACTTTATTTGTTATTATTATTTTATGACATAATAAAAGACCTTCAAACATACGTGATATATCACGCATATTAAATGTCTAAAAATAAAAATTTTCCTAAATTGATAATTAAACAAAACCAAGTTGTTAAAGCAATATCAACGGGATTAAAATGTGAAACACAATGTAGCTACTATTATCATCTGTTTATGTAGTCATCCAGAAATATAATAAGAACGTAATTTATTAATTATAACGAGACGTTATTGATATACAGTTTTTAGTTGTATGTCGACGTCTGCCACTATCTATGAAAAAGGGGAGTGATAGTAGTAGGTTTAGAGGAAGTGCTGCTGGCGATCGTTCCAGACTTTCGAGATACGTTTCGATTTTTCTGAGAAGAATACGTCCAAAAATGAGCCCATACGGTCTCTAATGAGTTTCAAAACACATTTTGTGTCTGAATCCACAACTGTTGCGCTCCAGACAGTTGCTTTTCAGTAACTCTTGTTCTTCAACAAAACTTTCTTGCTGTGAGCAATGATCAAAACTCTTATTGATTACAAATACAAGATATATATTCTAATGAAATAAAATGCAGATATTACTAATAGAATAATAAATATCTTATTAATTATGAAAGTAATAGAAATATAATACAATTAAAAATAAGCAAAAAAAACAACAAAATAGAACTAATGCATAGACGCCGGTATGGATGCTATCCGAGAGAAGACTGACATCCGTACCCGCATCTAAATCCTCAAAAAGAGTTGTGTTCGTCACTAATGGAGAGCAAGTATTATTGTAGAAGCAACTATCTAGGGGACAGTAGTCATGCTACCCTTGTGACCATGATCCCTTTCTTTTTTCAAAATCCTACATCCATTGGTAGGGGACAGGTTCAAATTTTACCCTATACTTCAACACTCCTTTTAGATCATGTATCATAAAACAAATTCTTTATTTTTACATAATGAATTTTTGTTGGTGTTGGTAAATATTTCTTTTCAATTGTTTGATAAAGATCAATAGTTGCTTTTGTTATTGTTTGATCCAGATACTTAATATCATCATCAAAAGATTGTAATTTTTGACTAAGCATTGTACTAAATATTCGACAGATTTCATGTTCCTAATTGATTATATTTCAAATAAAAAAAAAATTAAACAAATGATTTGATTGTTTTTTAAATTGTATTCATACGAATGGAAATGTCATATTGATGAGATTAAATCGACTTTGTAATCGTTGTGATATCTGATGACGGCCACCACCCGGTGAACCCATCGCTGTGAGTAAACACATATCCTTTTATAGACAGAATAGTGTAATCAAAATTTTTCTTTTTTGTAACTAACTTTAACAAATCTTGTGCCTTTTGTTTTTCGATCATACCAAAATTCATAATCGATCCACATTCGACTAATTGTTAAAAGAAAATTATTTTTTAAATAATAAAAAAAAAACAATATTTTGATATTGTTTACATTAATTCAAGTGATGGTTGAGAACCATATGTATCCTAAAGAAAATCATTTCGTTGTTATTGTCATTATCAATTAATTTTACTTTATTTGGCATATTCATATCATCGATCAATGTAATCATCTTTCTTCCATTCATAGGAACATATATAGTTTTAGTTCGTTTTTCTAAATTTATTTCAAATATATCCTGTAACATTTTTGATGTTGTCTATTCAATGTCAAAGTAAAAAAAAAAAAATTAATCTTTTCGAAATGTAAGAAATATATGATTCCATATATATTTACTTGAGCAGACATATGAACAATAAGTATATTAAATAAACTTGAATCAAGTTTTTTAAGAACATTTTCAGCTATTGTTGTTTTACCTGTACCAATAGCACCAACAAGTAAAACTTGATGTTTATTAAGTAATAAATTATGAATTAAATATTCATAACGAATTGTATCAACAGTTGGTACAATCATTTTATAAAATGGAATTCTGTATCAAAATATAAACGAACATTTAAGAAAATAAAACGATCTATCCCGGTAATAGTTCCTTTATCTTCAAAACATTGGATTATGAAATTAAAGAAAATGAATTATGATCATCATCTGAAGCAATGTCGACACTATGCAAAAGTCTCGTATTTATTTAGCTTCATATATTTTATAGAAAAAATGCTATTCAAGAGATATTACTAAGAATCGTTTAAAATGCATATTTGTCTAACGTTTTTATTTCCTATATAAACAAATATAGTTTCTTATTAAAACTGATCATATGTTCTAAAACTGCGTGAAATATATTCTTAAAACATGAAAAGATATCTAAGTTTTTTTTTTTTGATATTCTGGATATATGTTTAGATAGACAAAGAGACTTTAGGAGTGCAATGCCTAATTCTAAAGTAGATTTATGATACTTTCGAGTTATTTTTTATTACGAAGATTGAACACAGTATTTCATTAGTAATATGCGATTTGAATCTCATGTTGTCATAACAGAATTTTTACGATACCGAAAGAGTGATGAAAAATAATTTTGCATGATTATTTTTTAACAAACGATGGAACTACCTCAAGTGGTATTCGTTGTTTGAGTTTATATTGAATTCATAGACAAGTCTCAGTGAGAATAGCAAAAGCTTAAAAGGGTTTGTTCCCATCTGTCTTTGTAACCGAGTTACGACCAGTTTACTGGATTTTTTTATTCATTTTTAAGTACTCTCCCGAAGACCGAATAACAAAGTTTTGATTTAAAATTGGTGCCTATATGTAGGCGTAATGACTCTTAGAATATTCTGACAGTTTCATCTGAAAAGAGTGTTCCTTCGTTAAGTTATTGAATTTTCAAGTGAACTTCATTTTGTGACAAAGGAGCCAATCATGACCAGGCGACAATGACTCATGAAAACGCATTCTTTTAGGCTTTTGCTAGTATTACTGAGAACTGTCTTTAGGTCCAATATGAGTTCAAATATTGGGTGTCACTTGAAGTAGTTCCTTCGTAAGGAACTACAGTTCATTGTGTGAAGTTAAGAAAAGTATGATTTTGTCAAGAAGACTTTTCCTTTCTCAAATTTTCTTTTTTTTCTGCAAACAGTGTGTCATCTAAGCTACGATATCCCCATAAAAAGTTTTCCTTTATAGTTTTAATTCAACTAATTTTTTCAATTCTTTACACAGACCTCAAACTTGATGTCAACTTCTGATTGTTTCATCACGACCTATTTTTCAATGAAAAAATTGCAAAAGAAGTTTCGAGTCTAATCACATTTTCAAGATGTATAGGACAATCTGACTTTAATATATTCTGAAAAAATTCAGTTTTATTTGACTTCATTCTGTTGAGATATTGAAAATACAAAATGATTCGATTTACGATTGGATAAATCGAAAAGTTAAAAAATTACTCGGAATTATAAATCCATCCTTCTTTAAGTTGTTCTTCCCAATGTATCCATGTTCGACTATTTGTATCAACATAAAATTCAAACACTGTATCCTTATTAGGAAATGTACCTAAATCATTCGTTATTCTTTGTTTTTTTTTTCATAAGAAAAATTTTTTACCTTCAGTTTCACGAAAAAAAATATCAATTTTTTTTCTTCCTTCATCATTAACACTAGCAGCAATAGACCAAATTAAACAAAATACAAACCACATTTCAATTAAACGTCCTGATATTGTTTCATTTTCATTTAATTGCATCTGTATTTCATTTAAATACCAAAATGTATCAAATAATCTGGTCAGCGAAATAATTCCATTAAGTTCATGAATTGGAATCAATTCTTTACAATGAATATGTTTATATTTCATTATAGGCTCCAAATATTTTATCACACAATTGGAAAGTTCTGTTTGAAGATCCTAAATTAAATAAAGTTTTCAACAAATCTATTGCAGTTTTTCCCTAATGAAATGTGAAGATTAGAATTCATGCATATCCAATCGGTCTTTGTGTCGGCTATTTCTATTCTATCTGAGTAGAACGACTATTTTATGTGTATACATAATATAATACGTTCTATAGAAACCTATTGACGTAATTTTTTAAACTAACGAAAAAAGACCTGAATTGGATTTATTTTCCAAATTTACCTGAGATGTCTTTTGCTTTAACCATGATTCTAAATAAGGTTTCCATTTTAATTTTTCATAATCACAATAGACAATGCCTGCTCGTGAGACCGTTGCTGGTGAAGCTGTTGATAAATCTTCTGTTTCAAATAATAATGTTACTTGAGATGACATTGATATACGTTCTCCATTAGCTAATGTCAATAATTTATTATCATCCATTAAGGAATTCATTGATTCAATCCATGATGTATCAACAGGAGAATCGAAAAGAATTAATTTTTCATCAGACTTTTCATCTAAAATAGTACATGAGAAAATCAATAACCCAAGGAAAGGTTTTACTACTGGCCAATCGTTTACTCATTAAAAACTACTGGATTTTTGGCTATCGACTATATTGCTTCTAAATATGAGCATGAAATATCTCTTAGATCTTTATATGCTAGCTTTCTAGAAAACTAGTTTTTCAGACTAACAAACATTTTGCAAAGATCAAAGATTTGAAAAAGAAAAGAAGTCACTGTTATCTAGGCTATTCAATATATTCTAAAATCAGAACAGATTAAGAAAAAAATTTAACAAAAATTTCGTTTGTCTGAAAATCGGCATAGAAAGATCTAAGGCAATCTCTTATGCTCATAGTTGGTAATCTATAACTTAGTAGCTTTCTTTTAAAAAGTGATTGACCAGTTGAAACCATTTCATCCGTAATTATAAACTTACCAGCACAAACTTGTCTCATAATCATACTAAGAATTCCATCGTTCCATTCATTTGTTGCTAAATTAAATTGACCATAAAGTTCTCCTAAACTAACAGCTTTTGGATTGATTGGATATTCCTAAATTTAAAAAAAAAAAACTTTTAGCACAATTCGTGCAGGATTAAAATGTGAAACACAATTGAGCTGCATATATTGTAAAGCAAGGAATTCTTCAGTTTTAAACTTCTAATGCACAGATATGTCCGTGGCGAAAGATTCTATTGTGATTATTATATAGTGAGCTTGGAAAGGAAGCGAGCTAGAGACAAGTGTCTTAAATTTAATCTACTTGCATAATAATCACATAGAAGACTTGAGTTCTATGGCTAAAGAGGGAAGTTCTCGAAGGAATTAATCAGCTTTCCGTTGAGACTATGTACATCATATAGATTCTGATTCTTTATGAATGCACTAAAAACAATTCAGTTTCATAGGTTATTATTACCTACATATTGTATATTTACGGTATTTTTCAATATAATGCTGTGGTCCTCCTCAGGATCAGCAGAAAAACTGATTTTCTAGTTTCAACGTGAAACTTTGCATAGAAAAAGCCTTGACGAGAATAGTTAATCGTGAAAGTATCATGCCATTTGATATGCTTCTGTCCTAAAATAAGAATATCTAATCTATGGATGTATATAAGCGATGTACAAGACGCGCTTTTATCATGACTGGATCTGGAGCGAGGAACAATGACAATATTTGAAGCTTTCACAATAAATTATTCTCGTTAAGGCTTGTTTCTGAGCAAAATTTTAAGTTAATATTCGAAAATTAGTTTTTTTCTGGTGTTTCTGAGGAGAATCACGGCGTTGTATTGAAAACTACTGTACAAATTCTATATTTCGGCAGCAATAAGCTATAAAATCAAATTCTTTTCGATATATACGAAACCGATTAGGATCTATATGATGCACATAGTCCGAACGTAAAATTCATTAATCAGTTAGAAGACTCTTCTCGTAAGTCTATCACTATCTATGTTGCGGAGTCAAGATCCTACCATAACTTTATTGTATTCACTAAAACCTTGTTTATTTAATGTAATTAAAGCATATTTAAATAATTTCCATGTTGTAGTTTTTCCTGATAAAGTTTTACCAACAAGCATAACTGAATGACGAGAATGATGTGTTTCATATAATTGAATAACTTTTTCAATAGATATTTGTGTTATTTGTAAATGATGTATATTCATTTCATATTCAATAGCTTCAATTAACTAATCAAATGAGAAGAAAAAAAAAGCATTTTTTTAATTATAGAAAATAAAATAAATCAAACTTTTGAATAATCAATTTTTGGTATATCAATACCAGGAAATAAATCTTCAAGAATATTTTTAAATAAAGGTAAATCTTGTGCAGTCATTTTAGGTGCATTCATATCAAGCATCGATAAAAGAAGAACCTATGAAAATCTATATGCAAAAACACACACCTTAATTAAATAGTAATTTTTTTACTTCATTATCGGTCATTTTTAGATTTGTTCGTTTTTTTTCACCAGCATATCGTAAAACAGCCTTTGAAAAGAACGTTAAAATTTCTATATTTATTTCATTAAAAATAAAAGCATTATTCTTTTACTGTTAATGATCTTAAACCAAAATCATAATGATCTTGTTTAGAAAGTTGTTGTGTAGATAATTGATAAAGTGTATAAACTTTACGAGCTAAATTCTAAATAAGAAATTTATATTCTATAAATTTCTTTTTGCTCTGTTTGTTTAATTTACTCTTGTATTTTGAAATCCTTCGCTAAAGAGAAAATTTTCTGCAATATAAATTGAATCTGGTACAATCATTGATACAGGTCGAAACATTGATTTAAGATTATCAGGTAATTCAGTTCGGCCAGCGTAACCTTAAAAATGATTATTTACTTTTTTGATGAAATAAAAAATTATAGAAAAACCTGGATTCATTGTTATAAAAATACCAACTTGTGGTAAAAGTGAAATTTCTTTGCCTTCGAATACAAATCGTTTTTGTTTCAAAGATAAAGCTGTTAAGATTGAATGAATTTGTTGAGCAACAACGGATAACACTTCGACATTAATACGATTAAACCTAATGAGTATAACAAAAAAGAAAAACCTATTGATATTTGATTAAAATTGTATAATTTACTCATCAAAACACCCCCAAGTACCACTCTGTAAAAAAAGAAAATTATATTAAAACTTTTTGTATTAAACGAGGGAATAACTTGAATTGATACCCCGTTGTTTGAACTCATATTGAGTTCACATGAAGGTTTAATTAAGACTGGAGGAAACCTAAACGCATTCGTACTTATGGGTTTCTTGAGTCAAATTGTGACTGTTCCAGTGAATTTGCGATCTGAAATTTTGCCCATAGATATGACTGATGACTTTGGGAATATTTTGAAAGTTTCTGCCTAGAAGAACGCTCCTTTATTGAGATATTAAATTTTCAAGTAAACTTGCTTTTCATGGCAAACAACCATTTTTTTAGAAATTGAATATCTTGATGAAGCAACATTCAGAATATTGTCAAAGGCATCAGACCTATCTATGGACGAAAGTTCAGATCGAAAATTCAGTAAAACAGTCATAACTTGGCTCTAAAGATTCATTGATACGAACCATTTTAGTTATTTTTATAGTCTTGTCAAGACCTTCCTGTGAATCTAATATGAACTCGAACGACGAATATCAGTTTAGATAGTTCCCTTGTAAGAATAAACTACAGACAAACCTGAGCAAAACCTGAAAACATTTTTCCCATGGATTTATAATCAAGTGATTCGGAGCAATTTTGAACAACAACATAAATAGCAAAATTTTTTCCTAAATCTTTTATTGTTTCAGTTTTGCCAGTACCTTTTGATAAATGAATATCTGTAGATATTAAAAGAGAATATAAACTAACAAACCAGCTGGTCCTTTGGAACTTCCACCTCGAAATAAATGTAGAGCAGTTGTTAGAGTAATATAACATCGATCAGTCAATGGTGAAATAACTAAACGACTTGTACAACCTAAATATTCCTATTTTTATAAAATTTCACTTTTTTTTTTTTGATAAAATCTCGAAAAATTCTATTGAATAAATACATAGTTATAAGTAAATCTTGTTATTGTTTGTCGAATAATACAATCTTCATTGTGTTCATGTCGTTCCCAATAAAATCTTAATTGCATTTGCCATTCAAATGATTGTATATCCATTGTTTGAGTTTTAATTAATCGTTCGATAATATCACGTCCATGTACTTCTTTAGTAATAATACCAATAACACGAAGACGAACTATTTTATCAAGAGATAAACGACTCATGTTTGAATATCGATCAAGAATTTTGATCTATAATAAATTAAAATAAGTCATTGATAGGTTTGCAAAAAGTATTTGAAGTTTTTCTCAAGGAATAGATCCAATTTTACAATAGGCAGCCATAGATCGGGTTTTGAATAAAGGAAAAATTTCCATAGAGTTCTCGCGTATTATCCTTGTGACATGGTTTCTGTCGAAGAATCTCATTTATGAGGAATCGTATCCAACTATCGCACGCTTTTTCACTTCATATTATGGCAACGAGTAGATCTCGGTAAGACTAAGAGAAGAAATTCGACTTGGGATTTTATCTATAGGCAGATTTCGTAATTATTATACAGCCCTTTTTGGATATATATATATAACAGTCTCTAGAGAACAGAAAAATCATTGGAAAATTAAAGTTCAAATGCTTGATAAGAAATATTTCCCATTATTACTTCGTTTATATTCGGAATTTTGACGTTTCTATTAAGATATACTAGGTGTGCCGATATTGATGGCATGCTTCGATGATTCTCCTTCCTCCTCCTTCTGTTCTCTTTCAATTGTTCTAATATATCTCTCTTCTGTCTCTCTTCTATCTCTCTCCTATATATACATGTGTTATGTATGAAATTGTTACACTCTGGATATGTGAAGAAGCGAATAAACATCATTGCCGAGAGTGGCGGTAAGCTACTCCACCTCTATTCAGTTTGTCATTACGTATCAACCCAGTCAGGGCCCTATTGATCGTTACAATAAGGTCTATCTATGATTCAGAAGGTGCAATTTTCCTTTTGCGTTCTGTCGTCTATTACTTGTGATGACGGTGAAGAAAAAGATTTTTTTATTTTTCTTGTCTTAGAAAGTTAGAGAACAGGAAAGTTCGAGAAGTTTATGAAATCACATATAAGGTCATTTTCTAATCAATATCTTTCATAAAAAATCTATCCTTTCGGTGCATCAATTATATCTAATCATTCTAAAATGGCTGGTACTTATGATACTGAAGAGCAGAGAATTATTGATAGAATCAAATGCATTGCTTTTCGTGAAGCTAGAGATGTTGGTGCAACATTTATTAATCGCCATTGGGTTGCGAACAAAGTTCATCGTTCGGTTCAATTTGTCACAGACTGGTGGGAAAAACCATATGACCAATGTTTTGCTGATTATCCAAATGCCGGTCGAAAGCTGAAATTATCGCAAGCAAGTCAAGACATCATTCTTAAAGCCAGTGATCGACAAAGAAAAAGTTGTTCCATTGTGGCGTGGCGAAGGAGATTGCGGAAAAGCAAAAAGAATATGTCACTCGAAGAACAATTAATAATTACCATCACAGAGAAGGATTAAAACAATTTCATGTTATTCCAAAAACGCTAAAATCTGAAACTCACATATCAGACCGATTATGACTGGGCGATTGGTTAAAAGATTGGACTGAAGAAGATTTTCTTCATCTGGCGCCATCTGATTAATTTTACGTGTGGGTCATTCGTCGACCAAATTATCAGAACGATCGAACTTGGGTAAAAAGCGTCGATGATATCGAAGAAGACGAACGTTATCGCGAAATGGTTAAAAATCAACCATACATTGGAATTTTTGTGATATTTACCGCTAAAAGGTTACATTGGGTGATTAAAGATAAAGGTGAATCTTGGACTGGTCAATATTTTCGTGATATAATTTTGACTGAACACGTCTTTCCATTCTTAAAAAATGAAGAAAATGTTATTGATCCCGATGAAGTTATATTTATCCATGACAAAGCACCATGTATGCGAGCATATCAGATCCAACATTTTCTTCAAGACAATGATGTTAAATTTTGGGGTAATGATATTTGGCCAGGAAATTCACCCGATCTCAATGTGCCAGAACATATTGGAACAATAATCAAGGATGAAGTTGAAAAAAAGATGTTATCAGAACCTCGACATTCTCGTTATGTTGAAGAAACACTGAAAATACACATTTTAGATGTTTTGAAAAACATGGAAACCGACACTGATTTATTTGAAACTCTCTTATGTTCGTATCCATCTCGACTACGTGCAGTAAAGAACGCTAATGGTCGTCACACTGACTATTGATTATTTCCATTAAACAACGAAAAAATAAAGAATTTTGTATCACATTTAGTTCGAACTTTATCTCATCAATAACTTTTCTCACACTGATGATCAATGGAATTTACTAAATTTAAACATTTCAACATACGAAAGTTCCTATAACCTTTATTGTTTAGTACCAATAAACCCCATTTTTGACGGGCTTTCATTTGGTATAAAATTCATCATCAACTCTATTTCAAAATATAGCGGTACCCCTCTATCAAAATATTTTTTCCAACCTTGTACTTGTGTACCAAGGAAGATTTTAGACGATAGATTTCGAGACTTATTGTGATTGTTTTGTTGCATATGAATGTTTCTCATTCTCTAGGTTTCGATATGAAGCTTTGACTAAACAGAGGTTAACATCCTTTTTGAAGGTTGAAACAAATCGATTTGTCTTCCTGAACACTCAATATAACAAAAAAATGTTCAATTTAAATGAAATAGAAGAAAACAGCTTTCAACAAAATCCTTGTTACTCTGAAAAAATAGAACTCTATTGAAAGGAAACCAAACTTAAACAATCAAATAAATCAAAATGAGTAGAATTCCTTCAATATTTATGTCGTGCTATTTGACTGTTGTATTGAGTTTCGATTGATGTTTTTTTTTTTCATTAGGACTTATAAAATACGATGAACATAGTACCACTCAATATTTATATCACAAATAGCATTGCATTGACAATTAGTGAAACTTATACTTGTCAAATACTGTAAGAAACATTTCATTAATTCACTGAATTCTTTCTTGTATGTATTCTATGATAGAACAAATATAAAGAAGGACAACATCGATGAAATGACAATGAATTTGCTGTATCAAGTGTTTCATCCTACTTCATTTTGTTATGCTGAATAAATGCTAATAACAAAATGTTACAAAACAAAAAAATGAACATAGATAATGAAAAGAACATATACATGAATTTCATTTTTTTCCATTAGCTTTATTACTGACCAATCGAAGTTGTTCAGTCAACTCTTTGATCTTCAGTTCGTACTGTGCATTTTTTTCCTTGAGAGATCTGATAACACTCATTAATTGAATAGTAACCTTTTGCAATCCCTTAAATGGGTACGTAGTCATATGATTATAGAGCTGATCACGTGATCCAGTTCATGGACAATTCATAGGAGAGGTCAGACAAAGCACGATCACCTTGAGACATTCGTTCTTAATGCGATTCATAAATTCATCTCGTCGTAGTTCTGTTTTTGCCGCAAGCTTTCCATTTGATTTAAAGACAATTAGGCATATTTGCTATGAACAATGCATTTGTTGGTGTCAAATCATTTTTAAAAATTTGACTTCGGCAAAGTGCACATGATGAATTCTTGTTTAACTATTTTGTGATGCATGATGTGCAAAAAACACGGTGACATGATGTCAATACTGGACCCGTAAAAGGAAGAAAACATAGTGAACATTTGAGTTCTTTATCAATAAGCTCTTTGTTCATGTAATCATAGTTCAAATTACGTTCAATTTGGCCTTCAGATACAGAAGACATTTTATCCAAAGTTTATATAATACGTGAACAAGCAATGAAGTAAATCATTGAATGTGTAATATAAACACACTTCACTGATAGAAATAAAAATAAATGACCGAAAAAATTTTATGCACGTTGTTTATATAGTGAATTTTTATTTTATTCTGTTGCTGTCATTTAGAATTAGGCAAGGTTAGAGAGATGATCAAACAAGAATTATTGAATCAGTTAAAGTCACATACATAGTAGTCGCTGGAATCAACAACGTTCTAATAGATCATAAGCATATTATGTTTTTCTTTTTGTTTTCTTTCATATAAACAACTGATAGTGCTCTTATGATACTGATGCCAGTTTAATCTATTCGATTTACTGGTTTAAAGTTTGGTTTAATAATCAATGTCAGATTTATATTATTGTTTGCAGTTTTTGTCTTCTACTATTCGTTAATATTTTCTAATTGTTTTGCATCGAAAATGAATTTTATGAAGTTCAAATATTTGAAAATTGCTAGATGCTTACTTACTTTCTACAAGCGAATTTCTTGGGGCCACTGTGACAAAAGACAAGTAAATTTTACTAGATTTTCTTAATTATGTTCAAGTTCTTATTAATGAAGAATATTGATTAGCAAATACGAACTGTTTTTAAGGCATGCGACATGTCACCGTGTCGTATTTGTATCAGAATTATTTGAATCATACCAGTTGGACTCGAATGTTTATAAATTTTTCATGAATTAGTTACTATTCTAATTCAAACTCGATAGGTTTCCAAGACATTTTTACGCTATGCAGTTTTCTAGAATTGTCAAGTGGATACTCATGGTAATATATTTTATTATTGTAAAGAAGAATGTTTAATATAGATCATGATATTGACTGTCCCCCTAATATGTCAGGCGGGAAGACAGAACAGTAGAACCATTCTGTCTTGTGCTAATCTCTGATTTGAATTCACATCTTTACCTTTGTAAATCATTCTTGGTATGAATTGTATTATCTATAACTGTCTCAAAATAAATTTATGTTAGATTAAGTTACACTCTAAAACAATCAAATAAAAAATTCAAACAGAAGAAATCAACAAAAAAGACTCGTCAGTTTTTGCATTCTTATTTATTGGTAATCTATGTCTTAGATAGAAGATGCTTGTTGTTATATATTATATTCTGTGCGAAAAAAAGACTAAGGACACTTATTTTATATTGAACTTGCTTTCATAGTAATCTCACAATAAATTTCGATATTGTGAGAGTATCTGTCGTGCTCTGTGAGAAGGTATATGAGTGTGGATTGGAATCTTCACTTTCCACACCCATATCTGCATTCTTCATTGAAGAAAAACATGATTTATTTCATTTTTTGTCAATTTGAAAATATGAAATACTGAAGTAGAGACGAATACACATACCATTGCTACATCAGCTTAAAAAAACCGAGCACCGAAAGTCGTTTCAACTGTTTTTGACTTCGGAAAACAGAATAGAAGGCAATTAATAATAGTCTCCGTGTGTCTATTATTTCAAGATTTAATAAAGCTGTTGCAACATTAGAAGACTCGAGGTCTCATATTTTTTCATCACGTTTGCAAGCTATAAGGAGAATTCTTCACTATATTGTTTAGAAGAGTGGTAGTTTTTTCTCCGCGTAGGTTGTTGATCAAAATTCTTGGTTTATATTTTGATTTATTAATGCTAATATGAAAAATTGTAAATCGTATTTCAATCAAACAGTTTTGCATTGATAAGAAGAATATTCTTCTTTGTATAATGCATTCAATCATTCAGTGAAAAAGTTTAGCACAGCGCATACAAAGTGTTTGTTTTCTTTAAGAATTAAGGGAAATTCGTCACAAAAATCTATCATTCTTTAAAGTAAAATGAAATTTATTAGGATTTATTTTTCGAGACTTAATTAAAATTATTAATTTATTCAATGACACTGCACAATGGATTATAATTGAACAGAAAAAAAGTCATAGTTCTGAACTAGCTCAAATTCTTCACTTGACATTAAACACTTACATCAATCTTACTCTTGTTTTCGTTTTTATTGATTGCATCTAAAACCACAATGGATATTTGAATGTAAGGATATCTTGTTTCAACAGAAGTAATGTGCGTCAACTCATTTGATAGAGAAATCTTAATAATCACTATAATGACTTTTATTGATCAACATTTATTTACTGTTCGATATCAAACGAACTGTAGATGATTAATATATTGGGTTGATCATCAAGTGACAGAACCTAAACTGTATCCAACATATTTTTCGGTGAACATTTGACCCAATTGAGCATCGTATGATGTTCTTGCATGATCTTCTGTTGAAAAGAATTGCAACTTCATGATTCTTAATTCGCGTATATGTGTGGCGTTAGGAAAGAATTTTTCATTTTTATCAAGTTTGAAATTTTTCTCTAACTAATGAGTTTTGATTTCAACGAATTTTTCATCCTATCAGATTTTGATTATCTCTAATAGGTGCATAGAAAAATTGATGTGATTCCATACTGTCACAATTATCATGAACAGAGATTTTCTTTAAATAATGGCAAGTAGAATCTGACCATGAGAAATCGTCGAAGTAGTCACTACTTTTGCTACCAAAATTTCTACCGAATTTGATTATATAGTACTTAATCCAATTAGAAAGCAATTTCTTAAGATATCTTTCAAAAAATAGTTTATTTTTCTTACTTGTCGCGTCCATCATCTCCTTTATTTGCTTGGTCAATTGTTTCATTTTGTGAGTTTTTTTGTGATTTAAGATTATTCAATAGCTGAATAGTTTTGATTCATTCGTCTTTGTTCTTTCAAAATAAAATGTCTTTTATTTTAATAATATTTGTGAGTTTCTTAGTTTCCTTAATTCTTATGATAAAAAGGTCTACCAATATTCCAAATGCAATGAGTTATAAGAGAAGTAGTAAAAAGAAATATTTGTTGGTTATTGATAGTATGTAAAATAGTTGGTTTCTTTAGTATCTTGAAGATCAGAGCTGCCAACAGACCACTTTTTTGGCTTGACCTGGTCTGCAGACGGTTAGAAGTACATCAAAGAAAAAATTGTACAATATGCGTCACATATTTTTATAATGCTGTCGCCATAGACTCGATCATACATTTTGCCTTCCTGAAATCAGATAATGAAAGGAAAAATTCTTCCGATAAATAGAAAATCAAAAGATACCGAATTCAGCGACAAACAAAAATCTTTTCTAAACAAAGAACGATGTTTTCAAATAAGTTCTAATTCCATTAGTACTATTGCATATCATTAAAAATGTGTATCATCAGAAATAAATCATACAGACCGAAAAACAGAAAACATTATCATTGCCCAAATATTTTGAGCTTACCTCATCAGTGGTCTTTTACTCGAACTTTCAGAAGTGATATGTGTATTGCTACTCTTAGGGCGGCGAGTGTTGTTAATATTCATGTCAAAGTCGACTATTCTGTGAACGGCATATT